GGAAATGCTTTCCGATTTAATCATTGAAACTCAATTTATAAAAGGATTAAATATGATTAATGAGAGTATTTCGTTAGGTCGTGATTCTACCAGCAGGTCAGTTATTTTTTTGAGGAGGTTTAATTTTATATATATATATATATATTTGATATTTATTTTATTTACTCATTATATCGTTATTGTGATAGATTAAAACACCCATCGCAACAAAGCGAAGTTCCAGATTCAGATCAATTATTTTCATCAACAAATTATGCACCGGTTATTGATGACGATGAAATTACTTTCAAAGAGATTGTAGAAGAATTTGCCGAAGAACACAATCTATTGTTTATCCCAACTAATAAAATTCATCAAGTCACAAGAATGCCACTTTATCGTATTGGACGTACTACACAAGGTTTTGGCGGGTTAATCATGTATTTAGATGATGATGTTATGTATGTTAAGCAAGGGCTTGAATGGCTACCTATGGGATTCGATGAGATACTAGAGAAACTATAGCTTGTTTTTACTGCAATTTTTTGTTTTATAATAGATCACTTTAATGTATATTGAAAAAGTGTAAAGCACAACTAATGTAGATTCTAATTTTTTTTTATTTTATTTTATTTTATTGCTAATTGTAAAATATTTTTGAAAATCAAGATATAATTTAAATATCGGATATTCTATATAATAGATAGGCAAATTTCACTAAACTCTGCTAAATATATTAAAACTTTAATGATTACTAATCATTAGCAGAGCTTATTTCTTATATTGTCTACTTATTTTATAGAACATTCTAGATATTTTTTATTAAAATTTTTTAAATAAAAAGTGTTAATACAATAAATAATAACTTGTGTGTTATTTTTTTTTTTTTAACTTAGGCGATCTTGCCCTTCATTTATTAAGAGAAAACATATATGATGTTATAACAAAAATAAAACTAATCTATGTTAGCTATATAACTGCCCTCTTTTTTCAATTCCGGACTCATTCGGCTGCCTTAGGTGTCTAAGTGCGATCAGTCGCAAAAGTGATTTTCCTCCTACTAAAACAGTTTGCCTAAGCAAATTCATGTTCTAGTGATCTATAGAAGGCTCCTT